TATTTCGATTCCGCTGTATGTATATAACTACGCAGTTTTATGTGGTGGTCCAGTCTAGCCTCTTCACTACTTCCCCGGGGTTAGGCTAGACACTTACCAGCACATGGGGTCGGTTGTGCTGATACTACACTCTGTGCTATTTTGCACAGGTCTAGGTTTCGAGCAGCAGCAGCAGTAGTGTGAGAGCAGGCTTCATTTCAGCGAGACCCGAGGTAGCCTTGCAGGCGTCCGCAGGACCGACGTCTCCTCTATCCTTTATTTTTATCTGTTATCTCATTGTAATCGAGACAAACAACTTATATTCTCTTTCAGACGTTTGTATGTAGTATTCTTAGCAGTTCGTGAGTACAATGACACCAGTCTTGGGTAGCGGATTTTGTTGAACGTTCCGCGTTTTTATTCAGTTTTATAAAATGTTAAGACTTCCACTTATTCCTGAATTTTGTTGTTTTTGTATTATTGCCGTATATTGTTAAAATGGATTAGGTTATTAATGGACAAGTAAATAAATTTGGCTTGCCTAGCTCTTATTAGTAGGCGCCATCACGACTCCCGAGGGTGGGAAATCCGGGTCGTGACAAGTAAGCTTCACGTAATGCAATTAAGGCAATTTAAGCAAATAGGCAATTAAGTCAACTAAACATGCTTTTCTAATCTAACAACGGGTTAAATACGCAAGTATAATGAAATAGGAGAAGGAACTCAATTTAAATACTTAAAGAAAATCGGATTTTCAACAATTAGCTCAAGTACGCGCTCGCCACCTCACGTACGATGCATTTCAATTACCACGATATCAATCCTAAGGGGAAAGGTCCCCCACACAAGGTTAGACAAGCCACTTACCTCGAACCGGCTCAAAATCAACTCGAAACCACACCTTTGCCACGAGTATCCGACTCCAAATGGCCCAAATCTATTCAATTCAATTTCATAATGTAAATAACACTTCAAATAACTAATTCTATCATTAAATTCTAAGCTAAGACGCGAAATTAGGTAAAATAACCAAAACTCCCCTGAGGCCAACGTCTCGAAATCGGGTGAAATTTATATTTTTAGAAACCTCGCACTCTCACGAGTTCGTACATACAAAGAACACTGAAATCGGAGTCCAAATGACCCCTCAAATCCTCATTTAAAGGCCTCTTAAACTCAAGCCCTAATTACCTTTTTCCCAAATTTCTTATCACTAATTAGGTCTTTAATCACATAAAAACGAGTTATGAAGTCAAAAATGTTACCTCCAAGTGATTACCCTTGAATCCCTCTTCAACCCACTTCAAAAAGCTTCAAAATCGCCTAACAATGGAGGAAAATAGGCTAAAACTCGCGAAAGAACCCTTTTTAAACATTCTGCCCAAATGTTAAATTCCTTCTTCGCGAACGCGGTCAAAGCCTCGCGTTCGCGAAGCACAAAATAACTTTGACCATTTTTCCTTCTTCGCGAACGCGATGTACACCACGCAAACGCGATGCACAAACTACGCTGGGCCAATTCCTCTTACGCGAACGCGAGGACCAGTCGCGAACGCGTAGCACAACTACCCAGACCCTTCGCGAATGCAGTGGCCCTCTCGCGAAGGCGAAGGCCAAACTCTTCCCCAGCCCCAGCTCCTCTTCGCAAACGCGAGGATCCACTCGCGAACGCGAAGAAGGAAACCAGAACTGACTGCTGCAACTATTTTTCTACAATTTCCTAAGTTCCAAAAATGGCCCGTTGAGCATCTGAAACATACCCGAGGCCCCCGGGACCTCAACTAAAAGCACCAGTAACACCTAATACCTCATTCAAACTTGTACCAATCATTAAACCACCTAAAACAACATCGGAAACTCGAATTAATCAAGGATTTAAGCCTAAGAACTCCAAATTTCCTCAAAATATGCTTTCAATCAAAAACCTAACCAAACCATCTCCGAATAACCTGTTATTTTGCACACACATCCCAAATGACATGAAGGAACTACTGCAAGTCTCGGAATTCCATTCCGACCCTCGGATCAAAATTTCACCATCGAACCGAAAATCTTCCAAAATTCAACCTTCGGCGTTTCAAGCCTAAATTAGCTACGGACCTCCAAAATATATTTCGATCACGCTCCTAACCCCAAAATCACCTAACGGAGCTAACATAATCATCGGATTTCCATTCCGAGGCCATCTTCACACTGTTCCGACTACGGTCACTTTTCTAACACTTAAGCTCTCATTTAGGGACTAAGTGTCCCAAAACTCTCAGAAACTCAAAACCGCACATCCCAGCAAATCAAAATAGCAGAAATAAACTTGGGGGAACAGTTAATAGGGGATCGGGGCGTAAATTCCAAAAACGACCGGCCGGGTCGTTACAGTATCAAAACACACAGAGTTTGTAGGTAGGCTTGAGCTTCCAGCTGCATCAGGTTGGCTAGCACCTTGTGAGCTTTGGCTAGCTTGCTGTGAAGGCATCCAATTTTCAGCCTACATAATATTGAGCAACAGATTACATAACAATGATGGAAACAGATTACATAACAGATTACTAGATTCATATGAACAACAGGAAACACGTGATGGCAACAGGAAATATTTGACAAGAAACATTTACCTTACAATATCTTTTGTTATGTCCTTGTTGATGGCACTTGGAACATGTCATTTTCACTCCACACTTGGACAACTTTCCATATTTTATTTTTGGTTCATCTTTGCCTTTTCTTCTGTTCCTCTGAGGTCTACCAGGCATGGGTTTAGATTTGGGAGGCTCTATCTTAGGATTGTTGGTTTCAGGCCACATCTTCATATTTGTCATAGGCTGGATGAAATACTTGTATGCTTTTAAGAAGGTATCCCTCTTATACCAATGCTCCACTGCCTGTTCAGGTTCTTTGTTTATGTGATAGTATGCAAGAACAACATGTTGGCATGGAATACCCCTCAACTGCCAAGCTCTACAATTGCAAACCTTATCAGTCAGATTAACTAAATGCTTATGCAGTCCTTCTCCAATCTCAAATCCAACATCAGCATTCCAAAGGACAATACATTTTCTAGCAAGTTCTTTGCTATCCTCTAACAGTAGCCTTGTCATAGGTGATATATCAGATATCCAAGTATCAGCAAATTTCAACATATCCACTTGCCTAGTCATTATTTTCCTTCTAATCTCCTCCAACATAGTTATAATTGATTTATGCCTAGAAGCTAAAATCCATGAATTAAAGGTCTCACACATATTATTTTCAACAACATCACACTTGGAATGCACTTCAAAATAAGCTCTAACACATGACTTTTTTTGGATAATATAACAAATCCCTACAAATATCCTTACCAAGTTTGTCCATTTTCTCAAGCTCCTCCTTAAACTTAACTTCATAACTAGATTTAGAGCACTTCCAAAGCTATTTTCTCCTTTCTTCTCCTTTCCATTTCTTATGCCAATTAGACCAGATATGCCTGGCACACATCCTAAATTCAGCATTGGGTAAAACTTCATTCAAAGCTGCAGCAAATCCCTACGCAATAATTAATTCAAATTACAGTAGCATATTACTACAATAGTAGAATACTTAACATCAGAATTACTTAACAGCTAATTACTTAACAGCAACAGAATGCTAATGAATAGCTAATTATTACAACAGCTAATTACTTAACAACAGCAGAATGCTAATGAACAGCTAACTACTACAACAACTACTTACTCAACAAAATAACAGAATACTTAATTACTTAACAAAATAACAGAATACTTAAGTACTTAACAACTGAACATATCATATTAATGAACAACAAATACCAGAATTACCTTTTGCATATCTGCCATCACAGTCAATCCTTCTCCAGTTCCCAATTCCAAATCATCTTTCAAGTAGTTGATGAAAAAACTCCAGCTATGTTTTGTCTCCTGGTCCACAACTGCCCATGCTATAAGAAATATTTGCTGATTTTCATTCTTGCCAACAGCAACTAAACGCTCACCTTTACAAGCACTCTTTAAGAAACAACCATCAAAACCTATGATTCTCCTACATCCTTCTAACCAACCTTTCTTCAACAAAGCACACGTAAAAGTAAACAAAGAGATTTTCTCCTGGCTCAGTTTCACTGTTCATCCTTATCCAACATGAGCTACCAGGATTGGCCTGTTTTATCATATCAGCATAATCACATAACCTTGCAAACTCCATATTCCAATCACCCATGGACTCTCTGAGAACACGCAGTTTAGCCCTATAACAAATTGTCTTGCCAACATACAATCCTAGCTTGTCCCTGCACAACTCCTGTATTTCCCATATCCTTATGTGGGGCTGCTTAGTTATTTCATCTTTTGAATTTCTTTGCAACAAACTTTGAAGTGCATAGCTTATTCTTGTTTGAAGTATCACATTTGTGTACTGGTAGTAGTTCTTTACTTTAAAATCACCCGAATCTTTATCAATACAAGCATATCACACCATTTGTATCTCTTTGATTTACACTTAGCCCTCACCCTAGATTCCAACACCATTTATGGAAAGAAGAAGAAGCTTAACGGTGGTAGGACCTTTCTTCGAAGAAGAAGCTTAACAGTGGTAGGACCTTTCTTCGTTTTCATCGATGGTAAAAGGAACAGTGGTAATATGTTTAGATCGTTTGTTTAGGGCTAGTTATTTGTATTTTAGTGGAAATAACACTATATAGCTGAGGTGGACAGTGAGGTGGACAAAAAAATAATGTGGCACGGTTTATAATGATTACTTTTGCCACGTAGACGGAGATTGCAAAACAAGCGCTTGGTTAATTAATAAGCCAGCAAAAAACGTGTCTAATTGGTATGAGAATTGCCTAAGAAATGAGTTCAGATGGAAAGATTCCTAGTTTAAGTGTCTAAGTGAAAGATCGTGCCAATTTTAGGTGTCTCCCTATGTATTACGCCAAATTTTAGTTACATGCCACAAAAGTGGCTACAGTTTAAATATCTAAATCTAAAAAGTGTTAGAAGAGACATCACATAGTTCAACTAATTCCTCGAAAAGCGCGCGAAAACAGTTGGAAAAAATTCTTCTCTGTCCCTTTCTTCCTTAGTTTCATTTTTATTTATATCGCAAAATTCGTTTTTGTTCTTTCCTTTTCTAGTTTCTCTATATTCTATATACAATAATGCGATTTTGAGAATTGCTTCCTCTTTTTCTGATTTTCGATAGGGAAAGAGGTATTAATTAGATCAGAATTGAGATGGATGGGAAGAATTGGAAGGCTCAGTCCCGGGCTCAGGCTCGGGCTCAGGCCCGGGCTCGGGCTCGGGCTCGAGGTGGTGGTGAAGGTACCGCCCTATCAGCAGCTCCTGCCGGCGGATTGAGAGGTAATTTCCTTTATCGCTTGCAACTTGTACTTTTTTTTTTTTTGTCTTTTGTCAATGATTTTACACTAGAACACACACTAGAACATTCTTTTGTTTATTTTTACAGTAAAAGACGTAGCCAATTTTCTCATTTAGTAATTCGGAATCAGTTCTGACAGAGCAATGGTTTGAGAATTGTAGGTTTGATTGAAATTACAAAGCAAAATGGAATTTGTACTGGAAATCTAGTTCCACCTTCCATTTGAGAAAAGAAGATACCCGTAGCATTCATTAAAATTTAAAACAAAATTTCAATACAATAATATTGACGGCACAGAATCTAAGTGGCAAGTTGTTTGTGTTGGGGCGGGGCAGGGGCGGTGCGGGTTCTGTCTTAACCCAACTTCAACCCGCCCCTCCCCACATAGTATTTACACCCACATTCATCCGCCCCGCACCACACCCGTGTCCACCCGCTCCGCCCCGACCCGCTCATTTTTTTTTCCCTCTTTCATTTTATTAATTTTAATTTTTTTATCTTTTGGCTGGAACTAGTCATACTTTTATGTTATATTCTCATATTTTTTATTAACTTTAAAGATTATGGGAGGTTTCAGCTAAGGAAATAACATGACAAGATATTACATCTTGCACATTTAAAATAAAAGTTACTTAACAAAAATCTTTGATATTATAATAACTTTTGATTTTTAACTTGTTATATTGGATTAAGAGTATATGTTATTTTTCCTGTATTCAAGCTTATATTAGAAATTGGAAAAGAACCTATGTCAAGATCAATTAATGGATATTTCCCTTTTTGAGTATTTGAGCAAAATTAAGGGGTAATACTTTGATTAGTAAAACAGATTTAGAATTACTTGAAAACTATATGTTAAATATTAGAGTTTTAGAACTTCCATACAAGGATGAAAATCTGACGTGCAAGCATTTTTTTCAAATATTATGAAACATTGTTTGTTTTAAGGGGTTTTGACACAGTTGCCTACAAAAATAAAACTATTTACCCTTGTCTACCCATTTGTTTTCCTACCCATAAACTAATTACATTTCCTACACATAGTAGGTTTTGTTGGGAATTTTTTCTTTATTCTCCAATTCTTTTTTATTTCTATACTTCTTTTCTTTTCTTTTTTCTTTTTTTTTCTTTTCTTTTTTTTCTCGTTTTCTTCTTATTTTTTTTCTTTTTTCCTTTTCTAATTTTATTTAACTTCTGCTTTTTTATATTCTTTTTCTCTTCATAATCTAATTTCATTTACTGTTTTCACTATTTTTTATTATTCTTTTTTTTATATTATTACTAAAGAAAAATCAAATTGTGTACCAATTAAATGTAGTTAATACAATCAAAAAAATATTAACTAACATATGATACCGGTATAGTATATAGCTATACCAACTGGGTATATAATTGTACGCAAAGAGTTAAAAAAAATTTAATTCAATTATTAAACTGAAATAATATCAGTTGTAAAAAAAAAAAATTCTAAAAGGACCTAATTGTAAGAGTATACCATTACATCATATAGCATACTATAATTTATTTTTTTATTTCTTTTGCATTTTCAGTTTGCCCCTCACGCTTGGGTAAAAGCTTAAAACAAATTTAAAGGGAACAAGTGAATTTACGGGTAATAAGTATACTATTATAGTGTATTGTATACTATTACAGCATATTGTTACAGTATCTTGCATATTATTACAGTATACCATAACAATATATTGTATACTATAATAGTATACTGTTGCAGTATAACTATATACTCCTATAGTATATTAGTATACTGTAGCGGTATACTGTTTTGTAAACTATAATAGTATAGTGTTGCAGTATAGCTATATACTCCTGCAACATATTGTATACCGTAGCGGTATATTGTAGCTGTGTTCTTCTTCGATTTTCAACTGAACATTTCGATCTCAATCACCTCAAATCAGCTCCAAACGCTATCAAATTTCAGTATGAATTTCCAGAAGGTACTATAAGCAATATTTAACAGCACCCACTTTGAACGAAACAAGAAATCTTCAAAAATAAAATTGAGCTTCAAGCCCAACAATGGTAGGACCATGGAAGGCCTTCAGCTATTTGACAGCATGTTGACGGCTCGAGTTAATCCGACAAATTTCACTTATACAACGCTGTTGAGTGCTTGTAGCAGGTTGAGAGATGGTCTTGCAGGAGAAGCAACTCATGTTAAAGTAATTGTTTTCGGGATTGCACCAGATTTGCCCTTGTACAATGCGCTGCTCGACATGTATTCTAGTTGTGGTGATAGTGAAGCAGCTTTGAAAGTCTTCGGAAAAATAAAGAAACCAGATCTGGTATCTTGGAATTCAATGATTTCTGGATATGCAAACAATGGAGATGGAGAGATGCGGAAGGTAAAAGAGACGGAGAATTGGAGGAAGGTAAAATGAGGAAGAAGAAGAAGAAAAGGAACATAATAAAGGCGGGTAAATAGTTTGGGGGCCATGGGTAGTAGTAGACTAGTAGTAAATAGTTTGGGCCTGGGCATTACAGGGTAAATAGTTTGGAATTAATGGGTATAAAGTGAGATTTTCTCTTGTTTTAATATATTACGGGCCGGTTTCACCTCCATAAAGGCTAAAAAATGAGTTTCCTTCTTTGATAAAAATTTTAAACCCGCACCCACACTGCACCCGCAAATTATTTAAAAAATTTTATTTCAACCCACCCTGCAACCGCATATGCTTAAACTCGCACCACCCCGCATATGTCTAAACCCACCCCGCCCCGCCTCGCACCTCCCCATTACCATTCCTACTTTGCCTTGAGGTTATAGTGGGAAATTCTTAATTGGTTTTGGCATATCATGGGTGATGCCAAGCATGGTAAAGGAGTTAATGTTCAACTGGAATGATGGGAGGAGGTAAAGGCGCAAGGCATGGAACGTTACTTCACTAGTACTTATGTGGGTTGTTTGGAGAGAAATAAATATGAGAACTTTTGAAGGGATAGATATGGATATTGTTAAGTTGAGGAGTAGCCTCTCCTTATTTTCTTTTGGCGCACCAATGAAATTCTTGTTATAGAAGACTGGGTGTCTTTCGTGGAAAACCAATTTTTTTTTGTAGGTTTTCTACTTTTTTGGTATACTTCTTGTATATGGGCACGTATTGTCTCAAACATTATTGAAATTTATTTAATTAATCAACAAAAAAATCACTTTTTCTAACCAAATTCACTCTTTTTCTAGGATATAAGAAAATAATGAAGCTCCCAAGTCCTCGGTCTAGTGGTAAGAGCGAACTTGTGATGCCTGATGCAGACAAAATCTTGTTATTTAAGTGGAGATAGAGGGGTGGGCCTATTATCCACCGAGTTTCGAACTATGCACCATTGGCTTCGGGGATTTCTCGGTAATAAAGAAAGGGAGTAAGAAAAAAGTGAATTTTCAAAAGTTAATTGTAGTTACAGTTTTATCCAACACAAAATGCACTTACAAAAGGTAATCAAAATTTGTGTTGGAGATTCGTACTTTTATGATCGTATAGATTAAAAGATGTAACTGTTAGTATATTTTCTAAGTGGGAAACTTAACTTTCTTAGACAAGTATATTTAGATGGAAATTAAAATGAATTAATATACCTGAAATATCTAACATTGTCCCAAAGTTTGCATGAAATTTTAACGCTGTAAGGAATCAGGTTCTTTAATATTTGTGCTATCCTCAGTTTTTGTTTTATTTGTAGCATCTGTAGATCCTACAGCTCAGACGAGATATGCAAATGGAGCTGATTGGCAGGAGGAGGTTTACCAAAAGGTATTGTTTGCAATGGTATTTTTACTTGCACAATGTTTTGAAAACTACGGAAAGTACAGATGACTTGCTAAACATTGATGTTTTGGCAATTGAAAAGTGATGTGGATTTTGATAAATTGGCTGGTTATAACAATATAAGAAATAGCTGAATGTTCTGAAATTTTTCCTGTGATTGATGGAGTAATGGAGTAGATTTACCAAAATAAGTGTTCAGCTAAATTCATGGTCATATCCCTTTCGTCAAGGTACTTTATGTATTGGTGTTCATAGAGGAAATAGAAAACCGAGCTTGTTAACAGGTAGCTTGTTAGAGACTGATAGATTCTCAATTGAGAAGTACTACTACAACAATTTCGCATCAATGCCAAGCAAGTTGGGGTCGGCTATATACCCCGTCGCGGTCCAATATTAAAAAGAAAATTTAGTTTCACAAGCACTAGAAGTTCTTTATATTTTCTACTGGCATAATTGAGAAGTGAAGTATTTTTTGATACGATTGATTGGTTACAAAACATTAGTAGTTGAATGATGTGATCTATTATCTTCATTCATGAGGTAATATGTCTTTAAGTTCGTGTCAAAGTCTTCATGGCATGTTCCCAATTTTTCTTTAGTTCCCGACAATTAAGATTTCTTTATTGCTATTTTGAAGGGTAAACATATTCATGCAAGAAGTATATACCTGAATATATGGTTATAAGAAGATGTTATCTGAGAAAAGACATCTTTTCATCTGTATTAATTGGTATATTTCTTCAATATTTTTTCTATAATCTAGAAATTTGATGCTTCTGGCTTCAAAACTCGGTCGATAATAGGTCGCCCCCCTCTATCCTTCTCTACTTAAATCCCCGTCTTGGTTCACCAGCCATGGATAAGTTGGTATTTTGAGTTCTCCAAGAATAAACATATATATCATCAACATGTTCTATATACTCTGCACCATCATTTTTTACTTGTCAAGCCTACTATATCCTTATTTCCATTGTTTACCCTCGTTTTGCTTCATTTATTATAAAGGTGTAAACTGGAAAATTTGGGAAAAATTAAAAAAAAATGATGCTTGCTATTAGACCATATTATATCTCCCAAACTAGCTATGGGAAAAAATATATACTCTAATCTACCCTATGTTTTCCTCCTGGCTGGTCTGGTCTGTGATCACATTATGAAACTTGTACCCTTGATGCGAGCTGAAATGTGTACCACGAAGCTAAAGGAAGTACAGCTCAGTTGCTTATTTTACCATTCACATGCTGAATCCTGCAAAATGTATTGGTTAATCAGTTGTATTCTTCCTCTTCTACTTCAGTTTTAACCTTTTCATCTGAAGATTCTTTACTAAGATTCTCTAGTTTGTTCTCTACTGCATAGTACAGTTGATCTAATTATTACTTATCCACACGGGACTGTAGTGATACTTATATAGTTGACTTAATGAAAATTGTAATGCAGATCAAGTCTATGAAGGAGATGTATTTACCAAAACTCAATGATCTATACCATAAAGTTGCTTCTGAAGTGCAGCAGGTGTGTCATCAGCATTTTATTCCCATTATTATCATTTCTGGAGGCAATTCTACCAGCTGTGTGGTGCATCATTCTGGATTTTCTAGATTTTGATATAATTGTAGATGTGCATAGTTCTATTCACTCCCAACTTCAATCCCAACTTGTCGAGGCTATACAAATCATTTATATCCACTCGGTTATATTCAGGCGCATTTCATTCCAATAGTATAGACAAATTACAGGTTCTCAAAATTTCAATATATCCCCACCAAGCATACAAGTTTAACTGAAATAAAGGAACTCTTGGCAAACAGCTAACCCAATGTAACTGTTACAACAGCAATCAAGCCTTATTCCTGACTAGTTGGTATCGCTTATATGAATATTTTATATATATTTTGTTCCCTTTTTCAGCTAAGTTTTCATTGATGCCAAGAGAAATTTGGTCTAGTTACCCTTAGATTTTAAGTCGAAATTATCTCTTTTACTACCTTCAATCATCATACAGCGTTTTATGGGGATAATACTCGCAATGCATTTCTTTCTTATTTTGAAACCATTGCCCTCTAAGTGCTTCACTATAGTTTCAGATTTTGACCGACTCACTCGCAAATTTCGTCAATTAACACACTGTCATTTGCAAGTAGCATGCACCATGGTACTGCATTTTAAACTCCATTGGTTTGCTTATCCATAATTAGGTAAAGGAGTACTGATGTCAAATTCCTTGGATAAACCTACCGTTATTGGAAATTCCTCTGTATGTCTTTACACTTTTCTCATGCCTATGATTGTTCATCGTACATATTTTTTATGGAACTTATATATTTGATGTACAAACTTCTAAAGATGCCCTTAGTTAATCTTAGAACATTATCTAACTGAGAATTGCTGCAGAAAGATCAAAACTCTAAGTTCTCATTTTTGCATCCTTGTTCCTTCCCTGTCATCTTGAGAAAAAGTATTTCCATTGTTGGAATACAGTGTAGTGCGCTTAGTTTGTCTTCATTTCTTACACAGGGGCGGATGCAAATGGGTGGAAGCGGTGTCATCAGACACCGCTTCACGGGAAAAAAGATACTAAATGTTTGTACTAATATTCTGCAAAAACGATAAATATATAGTAATGACACCGCTTCCTAACAAAGAATATTTCCTGATCCACTGGTCAAGCTTATATTTGGCTTTGTAAAGGTCGTAGGCTCGAGGCTGGACCTAGACATTCTATTTTTTGAACATCTTTGAGCGAGCATTTTTGTTAAAAATTTGAGGCTAAGGAAAATTGGACCTATACCTCCCTTTGCAATAATATTCAACTAAACCATTGGGTCAAGGCTTTCAACTTGTAGAAAAATAATATTAAATAATATTTGTGTATTTTATTTATATAAATACGACACCGCTTACAAAAAGTTCTGCATACGCCCCTGTTCTTACATCTTCGTCATTTGACAGCTTTGAAGTATTGTTTATGATTGTGAAGTAGAGGTGGTGGTGGGCACCGTGAAAGGAGTTATTTGCACATATCTAAGTAGTTACTGTGGTATAGATGTGATTTTGATGTTAGTCTCTTTTCCATTAAGGGAAGAGATCAAGGCCTCCCTAGTTCCGTCGACAAGGGTTTGATATATCTGAGTTTAAAAAAGCACTTATGTCAACATTTTATTAAAACATAGAGTGTTGGCTAGTTAACTCTGTTATTTGTCTCTTTATGCCATTTCTTAAGTTTTCCTCCCTTTTTCTTGGCCGTGGAGGGAGGGGGTAGCAAAGGGCAAGAAACTAATTCTTTCTGTTTTTCTGCATGATTCTCTTCCTCAGTGTCCCCAACATGAGAAAATTGAAAAGTTCAAGGTGTTCAAGTTAAAGCTGGAATACTTTGTGCTATTATTGCAGCTTAACAAGCACGATATCCAACTTTATGACAAGGAGAAACTGCTTTCAGTTGAGAAGCACATAAATTTCTTTCTTAAATCCAATAATCCGCCCCAGCCTGATTCGTCTCTGCTGCAAGGGCAACTTCCTCAGCCTCCTGTATATACAAGTCAGGTATGCAGTCAATTGTTTCTATTTGTTTGAATTATTCAATTGTTTTCCACCTTCTCGTTGTTAATCCTGCTTGTGTTATCATGCATCTACATACTAGTATTTGCTTGTACCAAACCTTGTCTTGAAGTAATCTGAAAGTAAGGAGTGTTTTCTTTTTTGGGTTGTGGGGCAGGGGAGGAGTTTGTTAACTTCGGACTTGTGATTATTCTCCCGATATATATCTCTTAAGTTACGGATGACATAGGTGGAGCTAGGATTTAAAATTTATGAGTTCTAAATTTTAGGGTAGTAACATCAAGCGTTAGTAACTAGGTTCTAAATTCATTTTTTGTACATATTTTATGGTTTTTCTTAACATAAATACAAGATTTGAACTAAAGGTATTGGATTCGGCGGAACCTGTACGACGCACCTTACCATCTAGCTCAGCCCCTGACGAATGATCTCTCGTGTTTTATATAAATCCCTTCTGATTTTTTCTAAGATCTCATGTGTTATGATCTTTTGCAATTTATAAATCTCTCGTGTTTTATATAAATGATCTCTTTGGTTTTGTTCTAATATCTCCTGTGTTTAAAGTTAATGATCTCTTGCTTTGTGCTCTTAAGTTACTAATTACTCTTGCACGTCAGACACCTATGATGGGTTCTGGTTGGCAAGATATTGCTTCTCATTTTTATAGGTTGGATGATAGTTCCTATGGATTGGGTTCGAAACAGAATAGTTTCGGTATTGCTACTTCTGGTTTTGATAGGTTGGGTTCTAGTTCTGGTGCTAACCTTGTTGAGGAACGGTTAGGAATGGTTGAGGAACGACTAGAGAAAATTGAGGCTCATTCAAAAAAGGCGGAGGCGCTGTTGACTGATATTAACAAAAAAATGAATTATCCAGTGAAAATACGGTATGTTAAAGTTTCCAGGGACATTAGATGTCCAGCTAAGTACATGAACTGTCATTTCCGACCAAAGAGGAAAAATAGATCAGGCAGTCGTGCAAGCATCGACGATTGAGAAAAGGTGCAGTAGAAGAAGTTTCTCCGGTTGGTTCGCATGATGATTGTGTCGAAGATGACCAAAAGAAGTTAGATGAAGAGCAAAAAGATTGATAATATCTTATGGTTTTTTACTTTCAAGACTCTTATGATAGTTATGGCTAACACAATTTGTAATATAATCTAATCTATTAGGTCACCAATGATCTCTCATGTTTTATATAAATGATATCTTTTCCTTTGTTATATCTTGCAATTTATATATTTTTCAGTTTGATAATAATCTCTCATGTTTTATTAAGTCATATATTTTATTCTCTTACAATTCTTAAAGCTTTTCGGTTACTAATCTTTTTTTAAATAAATTCTCTCTTTTTCTTTGTTCAAAGATCTTCAGTGTTTAAAGTAACTATAATATTTAGCAGTTTATTAGTTTCTTAGGTTACTAATAGTCTCGTGCTTTATAGAAATGATCTCTTTTATTTTGTTCTAAGATCTCTTGTATTTAGAAGTGTAAATTTGGTTCTTTAATATTAGAAAAGAATACTATATCAGAACCCCCCAAGGTTTTCGCTTATAACACATCTCTCTGTGATTTTAAATATTGTAATCATGCTTCCCTTCTTTCATATTTGAGCTCAGTAAACAAAATTATATTGTAACTTAAAATGGACAAATGTGCCCCTTATATGATAATTTTATGTTAAAAAATTACATTTCATATATTCATTTTACGGAAAAGGGTCGTTTATGTCCCTCCACTTTGCTTTATTGTATATGGTAGTCCCCCGTTATACTTTCAGGATATAAAAATCCTTACCGTCAGCCACAGTTCTACATTTGTCCATTTTTGACGAAATGGGCCACGTGGCAAATTTGGACCTAAAAACCCATCTCACAACTCAACTAACCCGCACCGACCCATAACCCGCCACATCCCTCCACTCTATACTAAAATACCCGATAATCTAATAACCATTCCACCAACATAAACCAACCACGGATAAATCAGTAGCGACCAAATTTAGAGTTCTGGTGTTTTCTCTCATCTCGAAAGGCATACAATGTCGGAGAACAATTGTTCATCGAAGAGAATGTGCCATTGTGGAGAAGTTGCCAATCATTTCACTTCGAGAACTCTCCTACACCCAGGAAGGAGATTCTACAAGTGTCCTAAACTTGAGATAATTTTTATTTTTTTCTGTTTGGATATCTGTTAATATCCATTGTTTTAGCTAATGTTTTAAAAGGCGTGGGCGTAAGGCGAGGCATTTTACATATGGCTCAGCGAGGCGTAAGACCCGAGGCACGGGGCGTAAGCCCCATAGATATTTAATTTTTAATATTTTATAAAATAATATAATTACTGTAAATATTTATAAACTTGTAAAATTACATAAAAAATAAAGAAAACTATATATATATATATATATATATATATATATATATATATATATATATATATATATATATATATATATATATATATAGATAGATAGATAGATAGATAGATAGATAGATAGTATATGTGTGTGTGTGTGTGTGTTTGTGTGTGCGCTTCATCCCCACAAAAAACTAGTCAAAACAATCTATTATACGCTACTTAGAAGCTCAAGTAACTTGAGTAGAAAAGAATAAAGTTTTCTGCATGAAGGAACAAAAAGGATGACTAACCTGCAATTTGAACTTTGAACTTGCTGCTATGAAGGAGAATGGAGTTCTCTTTGTATTTGGAAAAAAAATGAATATTCGTTGCTTTTGGGAGATATTAGCAGATTAGCGGACAAGATAAAGAATTGGGAAAGACCATGATTGGGGCTTCAATCAATAAAAAAAGTTCTTAACTTTTAAATTTAATGCATTTCAGTTCCTTTTAAAACTTTTGAGTAATTACCAAGCTGAATTTTAAGAATTTGGGTATTATATAAAGGAATTATTCAACAAATTTTGTTTTAATTTGAAAAATTCTTTGGGGCTTACGCCTTACTAAAAAAATGCGCCCCGAACAACTAGGCGTACGCCCCGAATCGTTGGGCGTACGCCTCTTGAGACTTTCGCCCCACACCATCGCCCCGCGGCGTTTTTGGTGCGCCTCGCCCCAGGGCTCGCCCCGAAAATGCCTTTTAAAACACTGGTTTTAACAGTTGTTTGTGTTTCATTTAGAATGAAGGATGTGATTTCGGGCAATGGCACGATGAAGAGTTCCTTAATGATGCATTAATTACAATTAACAATGTACGATTAGAAGCTGCAAATCGAAAGATTAATATGTTGAATATTTCTTTGGAAGCTCTTAAAGTTGAAAGAGATGTCTTGAAGGAAAGGTTTGGAAGTATTAGAGGCTATGAAGAATTCTGAAGTTAAAAAAGCTATGAAATTGGAAGTCAAAGTGTTGAAGATGAAGATATTCAACACTTTCCACAACCCCTTGAACACTAATCCAGAACACGCTATTCATCAAATGCATGAACGATGCTGGGGCATTGGTCAGCCCAAACGACATCACAAGGAACTCATAATGACCATATTGGGTCCTGAAAGCGGTCTTAAGAATGTCCGAGTCCCTAATCTTCAACTGGTGATACCCTGACCTGAGATCAATCTTGGAGAACACCCTCGCTCCCTGGAGCTGGTCAAATAAATCATCAATACGAGGCAAATGATATTTGTTCTTGATTATGACTTTGTTCAACTGCCTGTAATCAATGCACATCCTCATCGTGCTACCCTTCTTGTTCACAAATAGAACAAGCGCACCCCAAGGCGACATACTATGTCGAATAAACCCCTTATCAAGGAGTTCCTGAAGTTTCTCCTTCAATTCCTTTAACTCCGACGGTGCCATACGATACGGTGGAATAGAAATAGGCTGAGTGCCCAGCACCAAATCAATATCGAAGTCAATATCCCTGTTCGGGGGTATGCCCGACAGGTCTGCAGGAAACACATCCGGAAAATCCCTCACCACCGTAACTGAATCAATGGTAGGAGTCTCTGCAGTGACATCCCTCACGAAGGCCAAATAAGAAAGACAACCCTTCCCAACCATCCGTTGGGCCTTCAAGTATGAAATCACCCAACTGGGAACATAATCCGACGAACCTCGCCACTCAATCTATGGCACCCCAGGCATAGCCAATGTCACCGTCTTAGCGTGACAGTCCAGAATAGCATGACACGGAGACAACCAATCCATGCCCAATATCACATCAAAATCAACCATACTAAGCAGCAAAAGGTCTCCTCGGATCTCCAAACCCTCAATAGTCACCACACAAGACCGATATACGCGGTCCACCACAATAGTATCGCCCACAGGAGTAGATACATGGACAGATGAAGCAAGAGACTCGCAAGGTGTATCCAAATAACGATCAAAATACGACGATACATATGAAAAAGTGGAACTAGTGTGAGCATGTGATTTTTGCCCGACCAAAATACTCCTACAAAATCACAAAAGATTTTTTTTAGTATATTTTAATTTTTTTATAGAATTTTTAGGAATATCTGCATAATTGTTTGCATTTTAGTTGCATTTTTCATATTTAAAAGCATAGAAAATACCCGAAAAAATATTCAAGTTTCATGCATTGCATTTTTTTAGGTTGATATTTGCATTTTAGGTTTAAGTTGTTAATTAATTGCATTAATAGACAAAAATCAAACAATATAGATTATTCCACTTTAGCTTTAGTCTTATAAATTAGTACCTTTTGTTTTTACTAGTTTTAGATCAATTAATTATTTTAGTATTAGAAATAGATAATTAAGTTAATTTTACATTGCTAGGTTTTGTTTAGGACTAAATTTAGGTTTAATTAGGTTTAGTAGTATTTAAATTGGCACTAAAAGAAATTAAATCAATTCAATTCAAAAAGAAAAACAAAAAGAAGAAGAAAGAAATTTGGTTTGGACCCGGAATTGGGCCAAACCATATCTGAGCCCAACACCCTGATCCGTCCCAAGTCCAAGCTCACCCCAACCGGTCCAGGCTTCAGGCGCCAAAAATGGCGTCGTTTCAGCAACGATCAATCCCAGCCGTTGATCATCCATTGATCTAACGGTTGGGAACTAGCCTATCCCTCCCCATATAAGTATCCGAACCACCCCCCCCCCCAAACCCTTCAGAACCCTCCCCGTTCCCCATCTCTCTCTTAATCCTAACCCTAGCTGCCCCTAAAATCTTTCACCACCCGCCGCCTGCCGCCTGCCGGAAATCATCTCACGGCGGCAGCCGGTCACCAAACCATCCCAAATTCACCCTCTACACTCTCCACAACCCCTTGAACACTAATCCATCACCAGCTTCCTCCAAATCACCACCCAAATCCGTTAATTTCAGATCTGAAATTTAAACCCAAAATCCCAGTTCATCCAAACTCGTCCAACCCCCCCCCCCCCCCCCC